TGGTGTGTTTGGGTATCAGAAAGTTGTTCAAAGTATTGAAGCAGAGCAATGGAGTGCTGTATGTTTCTTTTAGATCCATAGTCATGGTGGGCATATACATGCTAAACTGTAGGTAAGAAGACCTACTGCGAAAGGCCAGGTGGGAAATAAGAAATAATGAGAGCCACGGTTAACCATGGGTATTGACTACAATTATTAAACAAAATATGTATTCCAGGAAAAATGATTTATAAAGGTATTGTATTTATCAAGATGTATATGCATATGCTGAGTTTGAATGACTGAAGAAATTATTTCACCCTTTATAAAGGTTCAAGCAGATATAGCTGGTAGACACTTGGAAATAGGCACTTGAGACCCAGAAAATAGAAAAGAAGTATAGATTTGAAAAGAACTGGAAAATAAGTTGTAGTTGAAGCTATGAAAACAGATGACCTTCTAGGGCAGGGTGTAGAGAAGCTTCTGTACATTTGGAGCATATCTGGAGCACTGAGGCAGTGTTTGTTGAGTGGATGAGGGAATGGATGAATGTGTACCATTCTCTCTTAGAATGGTCTTCTCCTTGGAATCTATGACTCCACAATCCCTTGGTTTTACTCATTCATCTGTTTCTTGTCATGCTGTTCTCTTTACCTATTTGTTTTCTTCACATAGTGGTCCCATCTGTCTAACTACAAGGATAAATATAGCAGGATCCCTTGGTTCAGAGGCTTCACGATCTAATTGGATATAATTGTTTTAATGCTCCAAGAAAAGTTTAGTAAGATGAGGAATAAATCATGCTCAGCAAAACACACAGGTATAAAATGAATGGAAATCTTAGACAGAATCGTCTCAATAGAAAATATGTCAGGAGCAGAAATCCAGATTGCTGTGGGTTGGAGAAAGAATAGGTGAGGTAAAAAAGAAGAGATAGGGAATTATCTCAAGAAATTTCATAGCAACTGGGTAGAAGGAGGTAAAGCTGTATCCAGAAGGGGATGCAAAGTCAAAGTTGTTTTGATTGAGTGAGACTGGTTGTGGTTGTGGAAGAGGTGAGTGTTCTTTAGACCAAGAACCCAACAAAGCACAGAAAACACTGTCTTAGACCACAAGGAGCCATTTATTTAAAAAAAAAAAAACCAGGCATGTAAGTTGACCAGGAAGGTAGAGTGTGATTAATACCAGGATCAGCCTGGAATGTGACAGTTGGAGGATCTGTGAAGTCTTCCTGAAGGTAATGATGACCTGATGCCTGACCTGAGTTGCAAAGATAAATAGTAGCTTTTCACTCAAAGACCAAGGAGAAGAAGATACTAGGCAGAGGAAACAGTGGGAACAAAACCAAAGAAGTATTATGAAAGTGAGGATTACAAGTTACTTGTTTTTTCTGTCCCCCTGTGGAATGCATTTTCATTTTATTTGCATTGTCTTTTTTTTTTAATTTTATTTAGTTATTTTTCAAGTACAGTTTTTTGTCTATTTTTTGAAAAGCACATTTTTTATTTTTTTTAAATTTGATTTATCAAATTGTATGTTGTGCCCTATGGAAGTTTTGTCTAATTCAGTCATGATTTTATACTACGTATTTTCTTTTCAATTTTTTTTTAGTTTAAGCTCTTATATTTAGGATTGTGTTCTATTTAGAATCAATTTTTGTAAATGGTGTGAAGTAAAAGTTTATTTTTGCATATGTGTTTATGCAAAAAGTTTATTTTGAATAATTGTTACAGCATAATTTGTTCTTAAAAACTATCATTTTCACATTGAATTACCTCAGTACTTCTGTGGAAAATCAATTAACCATGTGTTAATAGGTCTATTTCCAGACTTCCACTTTGTTCAGTCTATCTACACGTGTATAAGACTAATATCATGTGGCCTTCATTTTTTCTAAACTTTACAGTAAGTCTTAAAATCAAATAGTATAATTCTTCCAACTTTATTCTTTTTCAAAATTGTTTTGGTCCTTTGCATTTCCATTAAAAATTAAAATGAATGTATTGTTTTCCAGGAAAACAAACTAGGATTTTTACTGAAATTTCAGTAAAATTGTTTTAGGTAGAATGGTATGCTAATTGCATTAAGGATGTCATACTAAGAGCATGACAGAGCTCTCTCATTATTTAGATCTGCTTTAATTTTCTCAGTATTGTTTTGCAACTTTTAGTGTGAAGTTTATGCCCAAGTACTGGCTACTTTTTGATGCCATTATAAATAGACACTTTTCAATTTCTAATTGTTGTAAATAGTGTATAGAAATATAATTATTTTTATATGTTGACTTTGTATCCTACAACCTTGATAAAATAACTTATTAGTTTTAGTACCTTTTTTTGTAGCATCTAATACAGGACTTATACCCAGAATATAAAAAGAACTAATACAACTCAGTAATGAGTGGAAAAACAATTCAATTTTATAAAGACAAAATCTCTTAATAAATTTTCTTCAAAGAAAACATACTAATGAGAAACATATGAAAAGCTGCCCGTCATCATTAGTCATTAGGAAAATGTAGATTTGCAAAATATAATTACAAACCCAATGGAAGGGCTAAATTTAGAAGGTCTCGTAATGCCAAGTGTTGGCAAGGATTTTAAGCAATCAAAACTCTCATGCATTCCTGGTAAAAATGAAAAAGTTAGTCAATTACGAAATCAGTTTGACAGTTTCTTATGAATGTAAACATACTTTTGCCATAAAATCTGGCATTCACATTCCTAGATTTTTATGCAAAAGAAATGAAAATAAATGCTCATACCAGCACTTGTATTGGGGTTTTCACAGAAGCTTTATTCTAGTCAAAACTGGAAGAAACTCACATGCTCATCAATTAACAAATAGATAAAAATATTGTGTTATATTCATAATGGAATACTACTCAGCACTAAAAGGGCAAGCTACTAACAGACATTACAATGTGTATGCATTTCAGAAACGTTATGCTAAGGGGAAAAAATCACACATAAGAGGTCACATACTGAAATATTCCATAGGACATTATGGGAAATAAAAACAAAAAAAATGAGTCTAGAGTGACAAAAATCAGGTCAGGGGTTTCTGGAGGCTGGGGGGGAGAGAGAATTGCCTGCAAAGGGGCCTCAGGGAAGTTTTTGAACTGACGGAGCCACTCTGCATGTGACTGTGGTAGTAGTTCACACAGTAGTTCACGAGTTTCTCAAAACTCTTTAAATTGTCCATCTAAAATTAGTACATTTTTCTGGAGACAAATTATTTCTTGATGCATTTGCTTCAAAAGAAATCATAGGGTATCTAAGTTACTACGAGTACAGGTCTGCAATCCCTTATGTGAGACCCTACAGGGCAAATGTGCTTGAAATGAACAGTTTCCGAATTTCTGAAAGCTTATACCGTATATTACATACAGGGGCGGGCAAAATTAAGTGCCCTGTGCCATTGTGACAGTCTTTTGAGTTAATAAAGCTACTGTAATAACTATTACCTGTATTTCTTCTTCCATGCAAACAACTGCACACCTACTTTTGCTCACACCCGAACATTCCCCTGACGCAGGATTTGAAAAAGCACCCCATAATGAAAAGCAGTGCATTTCTGCTGCACAATGTGTGAATATTCAGAGTAGGATCAATAAATTCTATAAAAAGCCTCTTGTTAGTTTAGATTAGATGTTGCCTCTAGAGATTGCTACCAAATGTGTCAGGGAAAAAAGTACATTTTCAGAGCTAAAGAATCTCAGGATTGAGATTAAGGGGCTATGGTCCTATCCAAGCAGTTTGGTATTTTCTATCATTTAAAATGTGGGGATTGGGGCTGAGGGGGAGGGAGATTGTAAGAAAGGCAAAACAGGAAGCTGAAGAGGGAGATAGATCACAGAGGGTTAACAGTCTTCTGAATTTATGTATATACCACACAAATACTAAAACGGCAGATTAACAAAATTGCAGAAAAAGGAGTATCTGCTCTCTCCTTTAGTAATGAACTCTAGCAATAGCTTATGAAATCCTCACTGTGACGGAGTAAGGATTAAAATTAAAGAGTACATAAAACCTCCATTGTCCATATAGTATTATAATACAAATATATCAAAGTCAGGTCCTAGTTAAGGTCCTTTGAGATTCCCCAACCTCTTCCAGATAATTGCCCTTATTAGACAATTTCGGCGATTGAACTCCCTTTCCATGTCTCCCATCACTCTCCTATCACTTCCAAATTCCCCGAGCCCCGCCTAGGCACCCTAAAAATGACAGAAAATACACAGTTGCTTGTTTTGGTTGTTCTGAAACTTTTCTTTGCCTTGAAACTCTCTTTGACTTTGTTCATGCTCTTCTGTTTGTTTAAAATGCTATTTTCTCTACTTACTCTCTGACTAATGTCTACTTTAGAGGTTAGAAATGCTACAGAGGCCACACAGAAAAACGTAAATTGATCAGCCCCTAGTAGCCAAGGGAACAACGGGGTAGGAGCAGCAAGAACTAACATACATTGTTACTTAGGCGCCCAACACAGAAAGGGCCCTTAGCAATGGTTTCCTTAATTAAAAGTGATATTCTACCATTGTATAATACAGATGAGGCAACGGAGAGAACATAATACTATTGCAACTCTTTTCCAACCTGTCTTCATGAAGCGGAAGTGTTCACACATTATGACGTCTTGAATCTTTACCAGTAGCTTTCTAAATTAACTCTTTCTGAGAGCAAGGAAAAAGTATGCTAAGTTAAGTTTATCCTCTTGCAAAGAGCATTTTTAAAGGCATTGAGATAGAGGGGCATCAGTCCAATTTAAAGAGATTCTGTCCCCTCTCTCTAGGAGCTTATAATCATCATCAAACATATTAATACACACAAATTTATTGGACCATCCTTTGGAACAAAATGGAAATATTAAAGCAATACATAGATAGATAGGTAATTGCATTAAGTAAAGGTCAAGCGTAAGTGGATTTACAGTGGGAGGAAGCAGTGAGTACCTAATCAGGGCGGAGAGCAGGCACTACACAGGGCAACTGGGCAGGGTGAGGGCGAAGAGTCACTCACCTAATCAATGCTGCAAGATTTCATGGGAGAAGTGGGAATTCACTCCACCTGTCAGCCTGAGTGAGCGCTGAAGAGTCTCTCTGTCTTAAAAATGTGTGATTTTTGAATTAGCAACATGAAGGCTACACATTAAAATATACCATAGTGAAGCAGGAGGATGCCTGTTCTTTCATCTCTGGCTCTGAGATCATCCTAAAAGGCCATCTCCATCCTGTGAGAGCATCCTTTAAGAAAAAGATAGAGTAACATTAGATTATTAAATATTTCAATTCCTAGGTTATATCATTTCCTAACATTTTTCCTGCAACATCAGATGTTTGCTATTTTTCTTTGTAACCAAGTCCCTTCAAAATGCTCAGGAACAAAATTTAATTTAAAACAATTCTTAGATCTCAAAGAACTACGAGAAACATCCTGGTCCATAGTCTGGATGAACTTCCCTCTCTGCTATCTAAAGTGTATGAGCACAGAGACCCTTCAGATAATTACAGCTAAGTTCAGACCCTCTGCCCACTTGGTCTTTTGTATATAAAGAAGGCGTATTTCAAGAGCAGGAGGAGCGCCAGTGGGTGCACAGGTAACTCTGCAAACTTTCACTGGGTGCAGAGATTTTAAATTTAGTTCTATGTAGAGCCTGTGCTTTCCTTTGGCACTCCATTAAAGATCAGGGCAGAAAATGCTTTCTACGTGGGACTAAATCTCAATGCTCTAGTGTTACATCCATTTCTTCATGTCCTGCCTTCGGTGGAGGTGCTCTCTCCTTGTTTAGGAAAGAACTCTTGAGACACTCGATTTGAAGATATTACATTGCTTCTCTGTATTGCCCTCTCTAGACAAGTCCTTTAATCTTTTTTAAAGGTCTTATTTTCCAATCCTTTAATCATCTCTGTGATGAAAAACAAAGTTCCCATCCCTCTTTGTCTCTCTCTGGACATAGGCACTGACTACTATAAGTCCTATGAGTTATATTTCTATTTTTTCCACTCAAGTGCTATCTCTCCTGTTTAAATTGAAGTGTTGCTGTTGACTCACCATATCTTCTTTGAAAAACAATAACAAAACATAGCTATGAACACAGTTCAAAATAGAACACAGAGTGCACAAGTAAACCAGAATTATCTTTTCTTTATTACTCTAGTTCCCTTTGGGGCCCCATTTCTCAGGAAATATCAGCCTTGATTATCCATTTTCACAAAAAAATAGCATTTACTAAGGCAGGAATATTAACTCTGTAAGCAAAATGACTGGTCTTTTCATCTCAGCAATTTCATACCTACTCACCTTCCAATTGACTTTTTTTTCCAATTGACTTTTTATAAATATTAGTTTGCATTAAAAAATCCATTTAATTGCATTGGAAAAAACACTTCACTGCTATACTCCAGGCCGATACCATGTTGCAGCTGCTCCTATTTAAGGGATAATTGTACCTCACTCTTCTACAAGGAACTAATTCTGATTTTGAAAGGATTTGTCCTCACAGTTTATCCTGATGAGAGAGGACTGGATTATTGCCATGTAAAATAACTGAATAGTCCTATTATAGCTATTATGCCACAAATGTTGGATATTGTTGAAGATCAAAGTACTGTACCACACTCCACAGTAAGATGAACAGGCATGGTGCACTTCCCATATTATGTAAAAAATACTGCATTTTATGACTCATTTAGTACCATGTGAGGTAGCTGTGGACCCTGTATCATTTCCTTCAAACTTCCCTCATCATTCTGAAATCCTTTATTTTCCAGTTGAGAGACTTACAATCTAGTCATTTCTCACCAGTCTCCCCAGGAAATAAACTCCAGTGCTCTGTGTTCTTCCATTGCATCATGTTACGTATTGCATATCATTCCATTTTCCATTTAAAGAACTTTAGAAAAATATTGCATAACTCTGGACAACAGGAAATTCTAACTGGTAAGTTGAAGTAAAAGCTAAACATTTCTCATCAAAACCATTAATGATGTTTTTTGAACCTTTAGAATGTGAAGGACTCAGTGTTGGTTAAGTTCTAAGAAAACAAACATAGCTATATTTTTAAAAATATTTTTTATTTATTTATCTTTAGACAGAGGGGAAGGGAGGAAGAAAGACAGGGACAGAAACATCAATGTGTGGTTGTCTCTCACTTGCCCTCTACTGGGACCTGGCCTGAAACCCAGGCATGTGCCCTGACTGGGAATTGAACCAGTGACCTGTTGGTTCACAGGCCAGCACTCAGTCCACTGAGCCACACCAGCCAGGGCCAAATATAGCTATTTCACCCTATGATCATTCAGGAAAGTAAACCTGTAAACACAGGAATAACAAGATGCCTTGTGATATAGGGTGTCCCTTATGAAGTGTCAAATGAATGGAATTTTTTTAAAAATTAGGCTTTATTCTATAGGAGACATTGGGGCATCAGCTACTACTGGAAAGCTCATATTCAAGAAGGGGCCATCGAATGACTGGTTATTCCATTTTTATATTCCAGATATTAATTTCATTATAAAATACAGCATGTTTTGACTTCAGTTTTAATTTTAGCATTTCAAAAGAAATCCCTCTATCAGATGTATAATCCCATAGTCAATATGTAGAGGACTACCCTTCAAGAAAAACTAGCTCAAAAACCTAATCAAAACTGTCCCTAAAGAAGTGCCGTTTTTTAGTAAATAATTTTATAAGACTCTCATAAATCATGGTAGGATTAAATGTCTAGGGGATATTTCCCCTGAAGTAACACATTCTGTAGGTAACTTGGAGGCATTACTATAAGATTTAGGACTTACTACACAGTACAAAGAGTCAATAAACATAAAATGTGGTCAATGAAAACAATTACAAATTTGAAAACACAACAATTATGAAACTATAATTAAAATAAAGACAAGTAACATTGAAGGAACAAAATCAAATGCTAAATGTGGTTTGTAATTACTGGTTAGGATTCCCAATGTAATTTGTAAAATGAAATAAGACAGTGACATTATATGTAAAAAAAATTAGGAGCAGGTCAAGGACATAGACATTTCATGAATCATTACTTCAATACTGGTAAAGAGATGTTTTGTTTAAGGACACACACTTTCTGCTAATTAGAGCTTATAAACTTCCTAGTCAGATGACCAAATTCTAATCTGGACCTATAGAATAATTCATGTATGTTTAGTCAGAGTAACTGGGTAGATTTCCACATTAAATCTGTAACAGGGAAGGTGACAGGGTCCTGGGAGCTGCAATCCTTGATGCCCCCTTGGGCAAGCCAACACAAATTATCTATCCAGCCGGTACATTTTAGTAATTTAGTAAATTGTATTTACTAAAATTTCCTGCTTTTAGTATTCCATTTGTGCCCACCTTATCTTTCCTTTTAGACATGTGTTTCACAATCTTCCCTGAAAGTTAAAACCATTGGAGAGCTTAAAAAATTCCCTATTCACAGACGCTAACTCTAAATAAATTAAATCAGAACCTTTGCGGGTAGAGCACAGGAATGAGTATGTTCCAAAGCTTCTATGGTGACTCCACTGACCAGACAAGGTTGGACATGCTGTTCTGCAAGACTATAAACACATCTAGAGCAGAAACTGTTTTAACCTGTCTTTATATGTCAACATACACGTAACTCATGGCATAGTGTTTTGCTCTCCTCACCTGTCTTTGTTAAATAATGTACAAATGAATGAATGGGTAGACACATAAGTGAGTAAACTTAGCCACGATATAGAGCTGAATGTCCTAGTAATTGACAAGAAACTACTATTTTATCTTCTAAGTTAATAAGACTTAGTCAGAGGTTTAGCTAATTAACTTCCCCCAAGTTTTTCTCCGTAGTACACCCATTTAGTACATGATAGGCCTTGGGTGGAATATTACAATGAACGTGTATTTTTCAGGTTACGTGGAGATAGCCTTTGTGTTCTACTCTGTATGAATGACGAGTGAAAGTTTTTTTTTGTGTTTGTTTTTGATTAACACTCACATTTCCATCTGAGTTGGGAAAATCTGAGTCCACCTTTGTTCTCACACTGCTGGCACACTCACAAAACTCCTGACACCACATATATGGGTGTCAGGAGTCCACATCAAGCAGTTCTGTGACACATCAAGTCAGGGTCCACATCAAGCAGTTCTGTGACACCAGCTGGATGCCCTACAATTTAACTCAATTTCAACACTATTTCCGTGGGAAGAGTATCAGTTGCACAAGACTGCCTGCCCCCTTCAGACACCAATCCCAAGTCTAGGTTGTTCGCTACACTTCTGACCTATTGGCTATAAATCGATTTCCCAACACCCCCTCCTTGGGTTTGATTTATTTGTTAGCGTGGTTCACAGAATTCAGGAAAAGAGCTTACGTACTGTTTATTAATTTTTTAGAAAAGGATATGATAAAGGATACAGATGAGCATCCAGATAAAAGAGATGCTTAGGGCAGGATGTATAGACCTAAGGGGTCACTGAGCTCCCATACCCGCTCCAGGACCACCATTATTCCAGCACCTCCATGGAAGCTCTCCACCCCTGGTACTTTTGGAACTTTTATGGACACTTCATTACACAGGCATGATAGGTCATTAACTACATTTTCATCTCCACCCTGAATTGACCTTCATGACCTACTCTCCACATATGAGTGATTAGATTTAAGAGCTTTTTAAATCAACAGCTACATTTCTACCCATCATAGCATTCCATGCACAAACATAGCATTTTGACTCTATGTACTGCGTGTGGAAGAAACCAGGCCCTTGATTAACTAGAGGGACACACAGGTCCCATGCATCTGAGTTTTCCTTAAGACAGAGAAAAGTGGAAGGTTCTGGAACAAAGTGGAGATGTCATTATCTTCCCCCAGGTGTCAAGATGTTGATAATGATATTGCCCCTCCCCCAAACCACTTCATCTTCCTGATGTTCTCAGGACCAGAGGGTGGGCAGGGCAACATAGAGCAATGGGAGAAAAATGGGGACAACTGTAATTGAACAATAAATTTTTTTAAAAAGCAATGATAGATTCTAAGGGAGTTTTTTTTAATTGAATTTTGAAAGGACATAATTATAGATAATAAATGCGGGATTGAAGACAGAAATTTAATCTTAAAAATATTTAATTTTACTCTAAAAGGATTTTTCTTTAAATTGTGGAAAGAAATACATATAGGCACATTTTAGCATTTAGAACTAAAATGTTGAACACTGAAACTACAAACCAGAAACTCATTTAAATTTTATTTTAAAGAACTTTATTAAGGGGAAAAGCATAATTTCTATTTCTTACTTTTATTCTGTGCCTTGAAGGAGCTGTAAATATGGAGTTTCTTCTGCATCCAGTGGAGAGGAATTCTTTTTCCTAATTGTTTTCTCTTGCTGCACCAATTTTCACTCTGTCAGTCTCGAGATGAAGAGAAAGCTGGGTTTTTGCTATTTATAAAAATGATGAAGGGAAGAAGGAAAATCCTGGCTTAAGAGACAAATGATGTAAGGAGTAGAAAGCAATGCTTAACAAAAGGTACCAACAGGAGCCATGTATAGATGCCCAACCATGTTAATCTGATCATTTCTTACACTGTCTTCATAGATTTCCTTCCAGATCTGCTTGCTTGTGACTGATGCTCTCAAATGCAGAGGAAGCAATATAGCTGTGGGAAAGTTGCCGAGCAGTTGGTAATCAATGTGCACTAGAAGGTTGTGCGGGGTGGCAAAATGTTATGTGTCCTCCCGGTGCCAGAAACAACTGGAAGAGATGAAGTATTTCCAGGCTTTTTTGTAGGGCCTTAGGCCCTAGTGTGTGGGGCTGCTTCCTCCTGAGAAGGTAAATATTACACACTCCTGCTTGGACTTTCCAACAAGGATAGAGCCCCAGCGATAAATCTGTTGGACAGCGGCCAAGGTACGCCAAACTTTTCCAACCACCTGGAGGCACGGAGTTGTAAATTTCCGGGTTTAAGAGGTAAGACGGGAAAACATGATTGGTGATTTCCTCATCCCACTTACCAACCAGAGAAATGGGGAGGATGATTCGAGGTCATCTGTGCAACTCTGAGACCATTACTGGGATTCCCACTATTAAAAGACAAGATCCCCATAACGGCAACTAGCAAGCCCAACGTGTTTCCCTTCTAGCCTTATCATGTGTGCTGATAATTGTTCACGCATTTATCCTTTGAGTCCTCAGGGCACCTTAGCCCTCGCAACACTCCAATCGGGCACATATCACAGGGAGGTGAGGGCTGGAGGCAGGAGTGAGCGACAGAAGCGGGTACGACTTGTACTGGCCATCCACGCCCTGAAGTCCAACCGGTTCACTGGGACAGCAGTCCACTCACAGCGCACAGAGGGTTCGCCTTCTCTGCGGGCTCCGGGTCCCCAAGAACAGCACTGCGAAGGATAGTCACCTTCCCAGGAACTGGGAGTAGGAATGGGGACGTGGAGACTGGGTAGGGAAAGCTGCAGACGCGGGCGGTAGGGAACGCAGAGAAGGAAGTGGGGCGTCCGTGCAGGGCGCGGTGGGAGCGGGGCGGGCCCGGGGCGGGCCCGGGGGCGGGGCTGCGGGGCAGGGTGAGTCACAGCGCCCCCTTGCTGCGCGCTCCCCGTGGTGCCCCGCGGCCGCCAATGGCTCGGGCTCGCCAACCCCTTTGTGTAACACTCACAGCCTGGAGTAGCGCGGCTCGGGCACAGCAGAGGCTCCCTGGGGTCCTGCTGCCTCGTCCCGGGCCGGATGCGCTTTCCTCCCGCTTCACCGCTCCTCCCTCCTCCAGCTCCCGACCCGAGCTGCAGCCTTTGGGCCTTCAGCAGCCCGCGTCCTGCGGTGCGCCCTAGCCAGCACGGCCCGAGGCGCTCACCACCCCTCATGCCTTGTCCCCCTCTTATTTCTCCCCGCCATCCCAGGCCTCCAAGGTGGCAAAAATAAACTAAAAGCAGATCAACTCAGAGACTCCAATAAAACGCCCAGTACCTAGAGCCCGAGCGCGAGCCCGTGTGCCCAGCGGCTAGGGGCGCGGGAGGCGGGGATGGGGGGGCGGGCGGGGGGGACAATGAGCGCATGAAGTTACCTGCCCGGCGGCAGCGGCGGTGGTGGCGGCAGGGCCGGGAGGCGGCGGCGGAGCTGGCTGCGCTCTCGGCGCTGACGGGTGCGCGCCGCGGCTTGGGGGAGAGTTGAGCGCTTTTCCCCCCTCTTTTTTCTTTCTTTTTTTTTTTTCCCCTCTTCTTCTTAAACAAACCGCAAACGGATGTGAGGGAAGGAAGGTGTTTCTTTTACTCCTGAGTCCAGACACCTCTCTCTGTTCCGTCTAAGCTTGTTTTGCTGCACACTTTTTTTAAAAGAGGAAAAGAAAAGGAGTTGCTTGATGTGAGAGTGAAATGGACGTAAGATTTTATCCACCTCCAGCTCAGCCAGCAGCTGCGCCCGACGCTCCCTGTCTGGGACCTTCTCCCTGCCTGGACCCCTACTATTGCAACAAGGTGAACGCTCTGCTTTTGTTTCCACCGTGTTCTCGCAGCTTGATCCCGGGAGGGGGGCGGCGGCGGCTGGGCTAGCTCCGCGGCCGGGCCGGTCGGCGGAGGCCAGTCCCGGGAGCGCTCGGCTTCCAACCCATCGCAACCCTGCGTGCGCTTGGGTAGTAAATATTGTGGAGCGGCTCCGGGGGTTTGTCAAACACCGCGATTGTGCGGAAAGTGACACGATTTGCTCGGATTCTTTCCTTCCTGCTGTTCGCGACTAAGGATCCCTGCCTAGGTTTGCCGGGGGGCGTTTAAAAAAAATTAGAAGAAAACCACGGTATACTTTGGGGGTGTGTCTGGTGTCCGGGAACCAAGGCAGAGGCTGGGAGAATTTAGTTTATTTTCCAGTTTCCCTTCTCCTTACCTCCCTCCCTCTCACGGGCAGCGGGGGCTCGTGGCACCGCTTCCCTGCTCGGGATTAGTTGCCAGGGGAGCAGCCGGGAGTCGGGGTGCGGGAACCCGGGAGACGCCTCCGCCCCCCGCGGGGAAAATTGCTCCACAACTCTTTTGTTTTCGAAAACCCGTTCTGGTGGTCAAGCCCGATGTTCGGACTCCTGTCTGTGGGCCGGGGCGCAGCAAGGGAGCCGGGTTCGGGGCGGAGTGGGGGGGACAGCTCCCATTTGGTTGGGGGCCTGAGCGCGGAAATTGCAAGTTTGTTCGGAGCCAGACGAGCGCTTCAAGTTCACGTCCAAAGCTCCAGCACTCGGCACGGAGATGGAGCAGGGTCCCAGGCTGGGCTGCACCCTCAGTCCCTTGACTCCAGGCGCCAAGGCCGCTGGGCACCGGACGTGGCTGACCCAGCTGGTGGCCCGGGGTGGGGGCGCCCGCCGGAGCTGCTGCGGAGCTCCACTTGTCCCGAGGATAGAGGAGTCAGGGGGTTGTTCTGGAGGGGGTTATCTCAGGGCTTCTCGAACTTTCATTCCCGAAAGGGAGGATGCGTGGGGGCCGGTCTCCTTAGCGCAGCGTCCGGCCAAGGCCATCCCTGCCTTGGGCTTTCAGGACGTGTCTAAGCTGTCCCACCGGGTGGACGTCGGGGAGAAGAACTGAGTTCTCTGAAAGGCCGGGCAAGTGGTTTAGATGCCCAGCTCCTGTTTGGTGGTAAACCTGCCTGATACTCAAAGCCCCTGCAAGCAATTCCCAGTTGGCCCCTCAGAGAATTCCACTGGATAAATCGTTGGGACTCCCTAACATTTGCCCAGTGGCAAATTATAATCAAACACGTTTTTTTTTTTTTAACGTGATACAGAACAGAGGCAGCATCCTCAGTCCCCGGGCCCCCCACCACGCAACCGACTTGTAGCCCGGAGTCTTGGTCAGTCCGGACACGCGCGCGCTACACACACACACACACACACACACACACACACACACACACACACACACACCGCTGTGAGTTAAGTGAACCGCAGATATCACCCCGTGGAGCGCCTAAATGCTGTGTACACTGCGAGTCCCAATAACAGGATGAGCTGTGTACGGATAATGTTTCAGCAAGTTTGAAACAAGGGAAATCTAGTCTCAGGAAAGGCAGAATGGCTTTTCATCACGTAGGGAGCCCTTTAGCTCGAGGCAAGTTGGAAGGCAAGGGTAACTTTAGCAAGAGAAGTTTGTGTGCTGAACTTTCATAATTAGTTGGTAACATGGTTCTTTTATTCTCAAATCAGCTTTGCCTTTATAAGCAAGCATTTGGGGTTTGTAACATAGTACTTATGGCACTATTAGTAGTAAAAATAATGATAAAGTAGCTGTCCTATCTTGGAAAATAAAGACGTATCCCACAGTAGTAACCAAACCAAAAGGTCAGAACCATTTTGGCAATGAAACTGGACACATCTTATTAAATTTATCAGTGATTTTAGGCTCCAAAAGAGAGTAATGACTTGGATACAAGTTCCAGTTGTAATGCTTGAGATATTAGGGTCAAATTTAATTTAAAAACTAAATGCTTTGGAAAATCAAGAATTACTTCAATATATTAAATCATTTCCTAATTAAGTGCTTCAAATAATTTTAGTGAGTTGTGCTGTGAATTGAATAAATTAATTTAGAAAGTCTTCAGAATTTCTTTACCAGCTCACTGAAGTTCCTTTTAAGTCACTCGGTGTATGAGGAGCAAACTGTTCTTTTTAAATGCAAATTAGCCACCCTTTCTGTAGACTAGTTGCAACTCTTCTATTTAACTTATCCAGGGAATAATGGATTTTTAAAGATGCAAAGTCATAAGATGTACTTGTCATAGTAGGAAGAGACTTCATGGAAATGTTTCTTGCAGGACATTTTTCCTGCCCCTCTCTGTGTAGCAGTACTGAGCCAGATTATATTAAATGTCCAGAATAGGTTTTCTAGGCCCCAGAAAGCCCAGGTGCTAGTATTTCCTCTCCATCATAATTACCACCAGTACAAAATTTCTATCCAGCTCCACATTTTTAACTGCTTCAAATGCAGTCAAGTAGCTTGATCTGTGCAATGACTCTGTTGATTTGCAGGGACCTGAGGGGTGGGCAGAAGTTTGGATGAGATGAAATAAAAGATCTGTCTCTAGGGTTGGTCAAAACAAGTTGCAACAGACTTTCTTAAAAGAGACAAGCCTGTAATGTAAACCTTGTCTCTGTCAGATGTGCAATGAATACGTAGCTCATTACAAGAAACAGTCTCTTTGTCAGGTTATTTGTTTTTAATAAGGTGATAAGATCATAAATTACTAATTATCTTTATTTTAAATCTGTCAACACTTAAAGTTGGTACCTAAATCCCAGCAGAACTAGTGTCTCTCTGTGCTTCAGTATGATTCAGTTGTAGCTAAAGTTTCTCCAGTACCATTTTTTTTTTCAATGTCAGAACAGACCCTAATAGAGAAAATGAATATCCTCTTCCAGAAGCTTTTCTAAACTCACTTGTGATGGTTTTACTCTGCTAACACTTTCTAGCACTGCTGCTCTGTAGATTGTCAAAATACCACTTATATTTTTCAGTTAATGAACTCTGTAGGAGGAATTTTGTGGAAACAGTTTAACTAGTATTGCACATTACTGTGCAAAACTGACCTCCATTTTCACGTAGCTCATTGCAGGAGAAAAGTGAGAACAATGTGAATGATGTTAGTTATGGCAACTGTGTGAGGAATCTCTTATACAAACAGCCAGAATGGATGGCATGTTGCTGTATATAGGTCAGCCTTTGAAATGCAGTGCAGCTCATAGACTGGACAGGCATGTAGGCTGGAAGTCACAGTCTTCACCTCTTGCAACTTAAAGCACGTTAAGGTCACACATAAGAGAAGTGGGTACCACAGTGGTGTTTCATCTGATTAAGACCATTTTAAGTAACATTGTATCCCTTAATTGAACTGAATGTTACAAAAAGACACTGTATTATAGGAGCTTACAATGGGAGTTCAGTAGTAAAATACAGCCCCATTTTTTGTTCTAGTTGAGGATGTCAGAGCATCAGTTTAAATATATACCTACCGAGTAATAACAGTTCCTTTCAGTTTCTTAGTGCAGTGTCATTTCTGAAGATTGTTTTCACTGATTTCATGCTAAATTTGGACAAAGAAATGGCACTTTTTCATTTTTACAATGATGCGATGTGTTCAGTTATTGCTCAGTATCTGCCCACATGAGGGGTAGTAATACAATTATGTTATGAGATGGCTAATGACAGGGATGCTGGCCTCCACCAGCGGTGGGAGAGGAAATAATGGTCTTTACTGTTCTCAGTGGTTGCTTTTGTAGAATCAGGTCCTGAATCTTTCTTTGGTTGATTTAGACACAGGGAGGTCCAAAACACAAACCCACGCTTCAGACTAGCTATATATAAAGAATAACGGGCATTTGGTATGTTGGGCTTTCGTCACGAAATGAGGAGGGACTGTGTATTATCTTTTCATATAAACATTGGAGGAAGGACTTACGTGTGATGAACTCTGCATTAAAATGTCAGGGCTAACATTAGACATCTGATAACTTTTGAGAAAAACAAGATTCATGACCCTCTCTGCAAAATCTCCTTTGAGCTTATTTTTCCATTTAGAGTATTATGTAATGTACTTTCATATGGTGAAACTCATCATATGTAAGATACAGGGTTTACAAGCACATTAGGATGGAGTTATTATTTCTGGTTTAATTAGTAAATGTAAGAAAATGGACAAGAGTGGGAGGAGGAGGAGGAGGAAGAAGGGGGCTTATAAGCAATTTAGTGCATCATGCTTGATTAATTTCCTATCCACCTTCATAACTTTTTGGACTTTAGAAAGTTCATAGTTGATACTTTGGACATCATTAGTATAATTAAAACTCCCTTGGGAGTTCTATAAGAACTTCATAAGTTTTTAGGTCTTTAAATGTGTTTTAAGTGAATTTATAGGCAAGAAAGAGCATAAACCAAGCAATCATTTGGCTCTGGCCACTGAATCACATATCACACAAAAACCTCAAATGTAGCTACCTTGACTTTGTGGTATCTATTTGTATCAGAAATTTCAATTTTAAATAATTATGCAAAAATGAGAATTATGAGCTTTGGGGAGATCTAATGTTATTTAACATGGTTTCATATTCTTCCGGTTTATTATATGTTTCAAAAGTTACTGAATAGTAATATTAAGGAGCATATTGATATTTTGCTTAGCTAGAAAAACTAAACTGGTGTTTAAATATTATTTAGTTCACTGCTTAGTATAGAATTTTTAAAATAATGTAATTGTAAAGGATTTAAGAGCAAAGGAAGGAAGTAAGGTACTTAAAACTAGAAGAAGGGAAAGTTCCAAGTTTAACAATTCCTGTTTGGGAACCAAAACTGGGTATCAAATTTTGGTTTTGGTAGGTAGGACTATTTCTTGTCATCATACTTTTTTTTTTTTGAAATGGGCTCAATTCAAGAAAGAGATAACTTAGGGAACTGGAGTGGGACATTGTATTTAGCTGTGAAACAAGATTTTTTTCTAGTGCTTTCCAACA